GTTTAACAAAAGAATGTAAATATTTTCTTATTTAATTTCTTCATAAAGAGACTTTGTTCTTGTTATATGGGGTATGTAAGAATTAGATATAAGAAAAAGAAGAATTAGTATGTAAGAAGATATTTTCTTTTTACTATTGTGAATATTAAAATCATAGAACGGTTTGATATCGCTATAGAAATGTAGCAGTTAAGTGGAATTGCACAAATGTTACAAAAAAAGAACATAATATAAATATAAATTACTAAGATCTACCATTAAAATGTTTTAATATAATGTCATTTATTTTTCTTCATAATTTGTTGTATTAAAAAACGACAATATTTCTAAATAAGTTAAATTGCAAATAATTGGATTTGTACTATTTGTACTATGTTCAAAACAAAAAGCAACTCAAATATAGAAATACATAACATATTGTTAAATTCATTCTATATTCTTGTGCTAGTGTTGCTACATTAATGCACTAAATATTTATGTACATTTTGGCTTGCATGAATAAAATTATAGTTACTGTTCCCAATATGGGTTACATCTTTGTCATTCAAGGTCATCACAACTTACTCCTTACATTCTTTATTTACTTCTTAGTTTCCCACAAATGAAATACTTAATTCTTTTTTTGTATTTCTTACTGCTTTTTAAAAAATATATATTGCTATTTTGAAATAAATACATAAATATGTAAGCATAATAATAAACATTAAAGTACTGTAAGCACGTGAGCGCATATATTTTTAATTACCTGTCTAACATTTGGTTCGTTGGATAATTTTATAAACAAATTTAATAGACAAACATGTACTCTTGCTACGACAGCTGATGATTGTGTTGTCAACAATTCATTTATCCAAAGTGACCAGTGTACACATGTAAATATACTTCCAAGGAATAAGTGACTGTCTGGTAAGTATTGATCAATCACTTTTACCATAAACTCTACATCATTTACACGTGGATAAAAACGATCCCATGGTAATGATAAAAGATTGCCATGAATAACATTTAAAATGTGATCTTTAACTGAAGCATGAGCAAAATTAGCAACATAAAATTGCCAGACGAAACAGAGTATCCTATTAGATGTTGGCAACGTATCGATAATAAAACGAATACATTCAACAAACATTGTTACAATTTTGTTAGCATATGGACCATCTGCAATAATCCATGGCAATAAAACAGATCGATCATCTGTAAGCTGCTGAATCCATGCAGCGGTTGGTTCTTTCAAATTTCGTGTCCAATATGGTGCAATCCAAGGTGAATACATTTCACTTAAGACAGGCCATATTTTCTCACACACTTTAAATAATGTAATGTAATTATTATATTTATTACAAAAATTATGTGTAGCACAGATTTAAAACACTCACATTGATCTCCTAATGAACCCCTATCAGATTGAAGGGTAAGTGCAACAAGAGCATGACCCACCATGCCAAGGAATATACTTAATGGTTCATTATAGATTCTATATTTTGGATACAATCCATAAAGCCCATACTGTAAACGTTCTTGCATAAAATGCCGATTTAATAATATAGCCGTATCATATATCTAATAAAAAATAAAATATATGATTATGTTTTAAATTTACATTAAAAATTACAAATTAAAAATAGGTACAAAATACCTTATATTTCAAAAACAAACCTCTTGTCGAGAAAGAAGTCTCTGATCTGTGGCATAATAACGAATATCATCCCTAATTTTAGAAAAATTAATTGGAAAAACATTTTTTGATTTGCCACTGAGGGTTCCTAATAAATCTCGCCAAACATCTAAGGATAAGTTTTGACTTTCACTACTTCTTAACACAACACTCAAAACTTCACCATAATGTTCAGGAAATTCATGTAATAATATAAGTCGTAAGTGATTTCTAAATAACTATAAAAAAATTTTGTTGCAATCAATATACACAGTAATGTTTATATGTAATACATTTATTACGAAATAAAGTTCACTTAATGCATAAATACCTCATGTAGTATCAGCTTCATCTCTTCTGGATTAAGTCCCAAAATACAAAGAGCTGTAGATACTAAATCAATGAATGTTGATCGTTCACTTAATTTTGGTCGTTTATAATTTAACCAGGTTTCTACATCAAACTACAACAAAATTGAAAATTATTATGTTATTGCAAATGTATGAATTACAAACTACATAAATGTGTAAAAATTTAAAGAAAAGATATATACAATATATACATTAAATAACATACTTTTGACAATAATACGAAACAAAGGTCAATATTTGCGCCTGTAGAGAATTCGACAACAATTTCATACATTTGTAAAAATGTTGATGCACTACCAGCAACAGGTGTAAAATGCGGTCCCAATAACACACCAAGATTTGGTTTTCGTATGATGGTGTTTAATAGTTGTAGAGCTTGAGTTTCTTCCCCACTAATAAACGACTGGTGAAATTAAATAATATTTGTATTAATGACGTATTTATGAAAAATATTTTTATAAAATTTACAATTATACCTACTTGTCCCAATTTTTCTAAACAAGTAGTAATAAATTGTTTTGTTGGTGGACATAATGATGCTTCTTCTGTATAATTGTCTACAAGGTAATAAAATAATTTAACTCCATTTTCTTGAATTTTATATAATACTGTTGTGTTTTCACTATTTTGGTTTACAGTTATTTCATGTTCTAACATTCTGAAAAACAAAAAAATAAAATATATTATCACTTCAATTTATATTATCAAAATATTACTATATTACTATAATACGCACGCAATTAAATGATCTATAAAAACACATCCTTGAGTAACTTTACTTGGTGGTGGTTGACTAGCTTTTATCAACAAATTTTCATATTCTGCTCTATTTTGAGTTATCATGTGGTCGATGCCACTATTAATGTGAGCTTCAGGTACCTACATGTTAAAATATCATATAAATAATTTGTAGATTATGTAAAATCGAAAGAATATTATTATTCTTACTTTAATTGCAATTACTGCAGGACCAGCACAATGCACAGTAGGTGGTGTTCCTGACCTAGATTGTTTCTGATTCGGAGGTGCTAGATCACATAATGCATGCAATGTTACATGATTTTCAGTTTCCTTATAAAGTGTAGGCACTAGTTCTAAAAAACTGGAATCTGTGGCTATATGCTCAGAAATCATTAAATTGTATGTTTGAGCATAATCTAATAATATTTTGAGATGTGGTTTAACAAGATCAATGACTGAATTAGAGTTATATAGACTTTGTTTAGATATACAATTAAAAACTGTTTGATTTCGATTTAAAGAAGGAGGTGGAACAGGCTGCTCATATGTAGCTAATCTTTTAAATATTCTTTGTAGTGGTTCAGCCACTTCAGGCAATGAGATGGGTACATTTTTTCCATTTTGATAAAGATTTTCTTGATTTCTAGAACATACATGTTCCCATTCTTGGACTGCGATTATTTGATTTTGCTGAATTGCCCAATAATCAATATATTCTATCCATGGAGTCTATTTAAATAAGTATTGAAAAATGTGATATAAAACTGAGTCTTCTATGAATCTTACACTTATAATAGACAAATTAAATTATATGAATTTTACCCAATCATCTTGAACAAGTAATATCAATTTTTGTGACATGTATTGTGGAGGTAATGCTGGTAAATAAAAACGTGGTTCGTGCAATCTTGGTTCTTCAAGCC